GGATCATGTTTTCCACAAAATCGTTTATAATCGTTACATAGTAAAATTACTCATATTATTTATGTCTCCAAAGTATGAAAACTAAGTTCCCACTTCATCATCAGTCACATCCCATTTAAAAATGTGCTAACATTTAAAATTTGAAATTAAACAACTAATTCGTTTTACATATTTTAATTTGGTAACTTCATTTTGGCTTCTCTCTCATTTTCCTGACTGAACAATTCATTGTCCTGTTTGAGAGAATTAATCTATCCTCTCACTTCAGTTAAAAAGCAGATAAAAAATTATCATTTCTTAAGGTTTGCCTTATTTTTATTTTTTTTATAAAATAAAGATTTTTTTTTTTTAAATTCCAACATGCATTCTATGCCTTAGCAGTAATTTATGTTATTAAACTGGAATTCAATCCTGATGGAAGACAACTCCATGAAATAACTGATTTAAGACCTACAAATAATTTTGTCTCAAAGGTAGCATTGAATATTAACTAGACTTCTGAAGAATATTTACAATACTTTGGAAGTGTTTGCTTTGCTGTCCATCCAGCCTGGACAAGACAGACCCAAACCAACATTTTTCCTAACAAACTCAAAGGGATCCACCCCCCCACCAGCTCTCAAAAACACTGTCCCATGGTTGTCTTGTCCACTGCTGACCACAAATACAGGGAAGACACAAAACTCCAGAGATACGTCAAAGCAGTCTTACATTATCTCCTCGCAACTCTGTTGGTGTATCTGGTCTTTAGGACAAGGGGTGATGGTTTTAAGCTAAAAGAAGGTAGATTCAGACTAGATACCAGAAAGAAATTTTTTACGATGAGGGTGGTGGAACACTGGCACAGGTTGCCCAGAGAGGTGGTAGATGCCCCATCCCTGGAAACATTCAAGGTCAGATTGGATGGGGCTCTGAGCAACCCGAACTAGTTGAAGATGTCCCTACTCGTTGCAGGAGGGGTGGACTAGGTGACCTTTAAAGGTCCCTTCCAACCCAAACCATGCCATGACTCTATTCTATGATTCCATGATTTTTCCATGCCTGCTTTCCGCTCCTCCTTGTGGCTCTAAGCCATGTCAAGCAAAGCACAGCCTCAGGCCATGGCGTTTCCTGGGGTCCGACACCATGGGTGCTGCCTGCTTGCTCCAGCTGGGGAGGCAGATGGACTTTGCCCGTCCCACTTGCCACCTCAGCCTCCAGAGCTGCAGCCCGCAACAAGGTCTGGGGACATATATTTTACTCCTGTTCATCCAATAAAAGCTCCTGCTAGCATAAGAAACTTTACCCTCTCTCACATGTATGCCCTTGCAACAAAGCCTATCCTTCCCTTCAACATTTGTCCATCTGCATCAGATTAAAGGAAAATTATTGAAAGCAATTAGATTGTAAAAGGTTTTAATAAAATAGTAAAGGAATCCATGTAAAGGAATGTCAGCAGTAGCAGTGTGTGACAGCTGCAAGAGACAGCATCATTTTTGCATAACGGAATTAATGTATGCCATCAGCATTTAAAGCACATAATACATTAGACCTGGTAGTTTCAAATATTATATTTGTACGATATTTAATGACTATTTGTACTGGCAAGCAAATCTCACTGCCTTCCTACATATTAGTAAGTGCACTACCCATTTTCCTGAAGTATTAATGTATGGATAACTGATCTCTTATGCAAAGCTGAAATAGGATTTAATGAACCTCCATTACTCAAGCTGCATGTTTTCCTAAAGATGAAAAATGCCATGTACAATGTATTTTCCTGCATGTGAATAAGCCCGTTCGTTAGTATAGATTTCTGAACAGAGTGTTTCTACTCAGCAATTTTTGCCCTTTGGGAGGGGGAAGGAAAAAAAGAAGGGAGCAGACACTTCCCCTCACTCCCCCACATCATCTCCAGAACGGAACTGGATCGGCTTTGTGAGTACTTTGGTTTCAAAGCTCTGATACTAGGCACAATTGCCTTCTAACAAATGTTTATTAAAACTTAGCTGCAAGCAGATAAATCTGGTTTACTATATTCTTCCCTTACTTTGATAGGAAATGATAACAGAGAAAGCAATCAAAGCAGTACAAATTTGGAAATAGCAAGAACTGCTGGTAGTTTGACATCTTGTTTGCCTCTTTTAACAATTCCCCTCCCTGAAGAAGCCCATGCTGGAAAGTAAATCTGTACTTACTAACAAGACATACTAATCTCCAGTCAGATTCTTAAATGCAAATTCTTTTTCTTTACCAGCAATACGTAAGCACCAGCAAAATTATCATTTAGATGTACAAAAAGCTGATTTGCAGCCTCAGTCAAGTATCCGAAATGCAACTTTGTGTGCTATTGCAGTTTTAGGACAGCAAACTCTATTTTATTTAGGAAAAAAAGTATCAGAACAGCCTTTCGCTGTATGTCCCGTTTGTAAAGGATGAAAAAGGAAGGTAAACTTTTCATCATGGTGTATGCTCTCTGTAAATACATCATTGCAGTAAGTTATTATATGCACCTCTGAGAAATAATTTTTTTCTTTTGCAGAAACTAGCTAGGTTTGGAAACTTGGATACCAAAACTTTTTTTTTTTGGTCATCTTGGTGTTATTTTACAAAAATTCTAAAAGTACTTTTCTGTACCTAAAAGTGTGTTAAGCAAGTCTACCTCTCCACTGTATTTCTTGGAATTTCCCATTAATTATACCCTCTCCTACCTTTCCTTTCAATTTCCACTTATTCTGCTGGACCGTCACTATTACTCTTCAAAATGGGTCCACGGGGTTTCAGATTCTCTGTGGAAATTATCCTTAACTTTTCTTCAAAACTTTGCTATACTCAGAAGCTGCCAAGAGAACTCTGCTGCTTTCCCTCTCGACAATTAATAGATATCAATGCCAGAATCAGAAACAATTGCAGACATACTTCATACTTAATTTCTCAATAATAAGGGTGTACAAAACCTGTCATTTCATCTGATAAACTTTCCTGCTCAGCTGTAGTCCTGAATCAGATAATGTAAATTTTTTGAGAGTTTTGTTGTTGCACTGCACAAACCCAATACCTTAAGAAGAAAAAAACCCCAACAACAAACAATCCAAAAATAAACCAACAACCTCCCCTCCTCCATGACTTCCCAAAAGCAGAGAGTATAATCCATTCATCCCCAACAGCTCACTGGTTAAAAGACGTACTTGAGCACCACTGAGATGAGGTTCCAGCCCTTGGTCTGAATATGGCTTTTGGCCTCCTGCTTTCAAAATAACCTCTCTAAACACCAGAGTACTGCCTGCTTCAGAAAGGCAGATGGCATTGTTCTCTCCTGATTATAGACCTGAATTTTCTTAGGATAAGAAAAAATCCAAATGCTTTAGAAGCAATAGCTCCCCCTCACCCACCCCCGACCCCCCCAAAAAAAAATAAAATAATCTTTTGTTAGAAATTATTAGTAGGTTTCCAAGTGGACTATTTGGTATCTCTGAGGCAACATGCTGCGGCCACAGCTTCGAGCTTTACAGAAACAACCCTATCCATTAACACTGAAATACAGAGACAAGGCTATGATTTTGATAGAATAATGATCACTTAAAGAACCGTGCAAAAAGCCAACTCTGGTCACTGGAAATGTAACCAGCAACCAGCTACCTTGCTCTGCAGAGCAGTTACGTGTTTCATAGTACAGACTAACAGCTTCTCTTGGCAATTTTATCATTATTAGACTATCCAGTCAATCACATTGTTGTCCAACAGTGCAAAGCTCTGGTAACTTGGCTGATCGTGGCAGGGGAGTACACAAGATGTTGAAATTCCTAAGTCACAGCAGCAGAGTTGATGCCCTATAGCACACCGTATACAGTAACAGGAAGATCAGAGCCTCCAAGACACGATGACTGTAGCAAAGCCACAAGCCTGTTCTTCCTCCCGCTGTGCGACCAAACTTTCCCTCTTCATCCAACATTGCAACACTCCTTCAAATCACAATTCAAGGGACTTCAGATTTACATATTTTTCAAATATTTATAGGCTGTATGCAGTAGACAACCAGCAGGCCCCCTGCCTTTCAGAACTCCGCACGCCGACCGTCAGGAACACAGGCCATCTTGGGTAGCCAAACTACTTCAGGTGACTTGAACTCCATCTTCTCTCCCCAAATTGCTTAACTGACATAGAAACTATGCATGACCCTCAGAACAAGGATTAAGATCAAGTAAGAAAACCAACAGTTATCACTTCTCTTTTTTTTTTTTTTAAATAGTGCGCTACATGAAACACTGCCATCATTGCTTTATACATTTCAGAATGCTTCTCCTACAAAAAAGGTGTTTTTCTTGAAAACTAAAAAAAAACCCTCCAAGCTGTAATAAGACAGTCAGGAGAAAAGCATTATGCTTCCAGTATGCCACCACAATCTTCTCAAGAAGACACCAACAGCTAACTGAGGTTCTGTGCTTTAGAAATCATGCTTCCTACCAGAAGTTGGCTCTATGTCCAATGTATATGCATGTGGGAGAAGAACCTGCTTAAAAATCACGAATACTCAGCAGAAACTGCAAATAAATAATCTAATTTCTAAAGTCCTCATTTCTAACAGCCTAATTTCTACTTAGGATCTAAAGATACCGATACAACAAATCACAACATTTTATTTTGGTTTTCTTGTCAGCAAGTATGATTCTGTGAACAGATATAGAAGGCCTGATCTTGTGAAGTATCCAACAACTTAAGTGGTCTTTGACTGTAGAAGCAGCTGGAACATACTGCTTCTGTGAAATGCTGATCGCTTTCACTGCTCGTGAAAACAAAATAGTGATACTCATTACTTCATTAGTCACTATTTTTGTCGACCCATCCCATATGAAAAAAGTAAGCTGTGATAAAAACAATTTAGATGTAGAATGATATCTTGAGAAGCTCTGTTTAATAATCTGCTTCCCTTTTCCCCTCAAAAGTCTAAGCCAAAAGTAACAATTAAATAAAACCTGGAAAGGTTTTGTGAACAAATTGCAACCAAAAAGATAAATTCTTACCTTGAAGCATCAAAGCTGTCATAGGATCCAACTGTGTAGTGTCTAAACAGTTTCTTTGTTCTATCTGTTCGTGTTTCTGCACAAAGAAAAGAGAACTTTTAATAATACTCCTGTATTACTTAATCAAGTGCTGTTTTAATTTGCCATTTTAAAGCGGATTTTCTGCTATACATCAATAAAATAAAACTTACAGTACTTCATAGAATCACAGAATGATTGAGGTCAGAAGGGACCTCTGGAGGTCATCTTGTCCAACGCCCCCTGCTCAAGCAGGCCACCTAGAGCCAGTTGCCCAGGACCGTGTCCAGATGGCTTTTGAATATCCCTAAGGATGGAGACTCCACAACCTCCCTGGGCAACCTATTCCTGTGCTCAGTCACCCTTACAGTAAAAAAGTATTTCCTTACATTCCCTTACAGTGAATTAACATAGTTTCAAGGCGTTTTGAAAAAAAATGTTGACTTTGGAGTTGAGATATTCTTTTATCATATCATACACATCAAGAGAATAAGGAGAACTTCTTGTAGATCACGTATCATATCATTCACAAGTTTTAAAGTTCCACCTGCATTCACAGTGGCAAAATCTTTCAAGTTCAATCTTTGGTTCTTTTATACCTTGGACTAAGAGGCAAAATAGAAGAAGAAAGAAAGAAGAAAAAAACCAGCAATACATTTTGGAAAGGTTGGAAAACTAGCCAAAAGAATGCAAAGCAGTATTTTTTGTTTAAACACACACGCACACAAAACTAGAGCTATTTCTACAGTTTTATTAGGCATATGGAGAATGGGGTAGGGGGGAAGATTAGCTGCCCACATTCGTCGCCATCAATCAAATCTCACAGGAAACAGTGCTATGAAACTTGTACTACCATCACATGGCAAAAGCAAACAATCCAAACAACCGGGGGATATGGGGTGATGCAAAAAACCAAAGAAACCCCATATTTGGGAAACGTGAAGAACAAAGGAATAAGATACCACAATATATCTACTAAAAAAGGCTTTTAAAACCTCAAATACATTAAAATTATATATTTATTCCTTCTCTTAAGAAAAAAACATCCAACCCACTGAAGCAGTTCCCACATCTAGTAGTTGCAGCATTAAATCAACCTCTAGGGCTACGAACATTATGTTCACACGTATTTCTACAATTCACCAGCATTAACGCTCGTTTAGTATGTGTATACAGTTAAAGTACTTCATTTAGAACCGTATCTGTAGAAAGACACACAACAGAGCTAAACATCTCTCTTCCTCTAGGATTGGAAAGATGCTCTCTCATTTATTGCTTTCAATGGTTACCAATAAATCAAGCATGTGGGAAAGATGCAGGAGCTGCTCCAGTATTTGGTTGCTTCGGTTTGCACAGCAGAGAGTATAATCTAAGAGGCTTTCACTGAAAGGCTATCACTATACGTGTGTGTGTATATATATATATAAAAATTACACTTTCAGGGAAGGACAAAAGGATTATAGAGGAGGTAGGTAATTCATTGTAACATTATTCTTCAGAATGATAGGAGAATACATAGAAGCTTACTTCCAAAGAGGCATTCAAATAAAGTAAAACTTTCACAAAAAAGAGAGTTAGGAACCTTCTTTGGTAGCTTCACATATTACAATAACTGTTGTTCAAATGAGTAAATTTTCTGAGCCTTACTCAGTCTTTACCACAATAACATTTTAGTGTATTCATTTTTCCTCAGACGAGTATCTTTATGGCAGCCCCTTTTTATATAGTTTCTTCGTTCAAGGGAAGATACGTATGCAGAAACTGTAGTTTTTGAGATAAGAAAAAAGTCTTGCCTAAATACAGCTTGGTCCTCAAATTCAATCACATTAAGTTAGGCTAACAGACATCAAAAATCAAACCGAAAGGTTTCTGGTTTAGCTTGTGACCATGAAATTCTCATCTGCATGGCTGAGGAAGTTTTCATTGAAGGACAGCCTGACTCCATCCAAACAGATTTTATTAGTTCTCCAAGCTAGACATAGCCCTCAAGGTACACCATCTCTATGTCACAACTTTTAAGGACATTAAAAATTACTGTGAGAGGTAGTGCTGTCAGATGACCAAGTGCTAGTCTGCAGAGAGCAAAAATACATCAGTGCCAGATGACAGGCTTTAAACGTGGCCAAGAAGCACGCTGCAGAAGAAAGTACTGGGAGGCAGACTTTGGGAAGAAGGGTTGACGAAATGCATCTTTCCTTGCTTTAACCAGTACAGCTGACACATTACTGGATCGTGCCCTCAGTTGGAGACATAAATACAAATTCATACATAATGCAGAGGAATTATGGCTGAAACTATACGTGCAGGTTGCAGCGGGCTAAAAGAACGAGCAAGTTAGTTCTTCATAGCGGTGCACTGATTTGCAAGATACAAGAAAAACAGAAATAACAGAAAAAACAGAAATATTTACATTTATATAAATTTTGTGGGGACAGCCTCCTTCCTACAGGATGGCCAAAAAGGGAGAAAATCCATATTATAACATGAATCCTACATGATAGTTTTGTACAGGCTTATTTTGTCCCTTTGTCACTCACCTACAACCTCTATTTTATGCCAAAGAGGCCCTACCTTTACCCCAGGTTCCAGCTCCTACTGTCCTTACCCTCCCCTGCCTTTCTGGAACACCCAAAAAAGGACACAACTCGCTCCAGGACCCACCTAGCACCTACCTAGACATAACCAAAGCTCAGCCAACCAGCACGTTAGCTGCAGGGCTGGAGGACAACACGCTGCCTTTCGCAGAGTAAGAGCTGTAAGTGTAGCGAGCAGCGATGGTACCCAAGGCTATGGGACAGCTGCTCAGAGAGATTTGGCTTTGAAGTAGCTCACTGTATGACTGTACCTCTTAATGTGCTATAAGGGGCTCAGTAAATTTTATGGGTCATGCCTTGGTTGCTAAGTTTGGAAGTTTAACTTCAAAATCCAATGCCCCGCTGCGATGTGGAATAAAGTGACCTGCATGAATTGCAGTCTGTTCCCCACTGAGTAATATTCTTTTTCACGTCATCCTGAAAATCAGACTAATATCAAGAGACATAATCAGAAGAAACACAGAAAAACATAAACCTGGATTCCACTTAGAGTTTACCACTGGCCCGCTTTCAGAAGTCACTTATAAATTATTAAAAGAACAAAGTATGACGAAGATGATTTTGGAAACCTAAAAGCCTCTGCTTGAGCCTTAAGGAGCCAGATGTTTCTTCTGCAGAAACTGTTTTCTATAGCATGATATTTCAGTGCTATTAACGAATACAAAGTGGGTGGGAGGAACGGAAAGGCGCAGTAAGACAGATAGCTTTGTTCAGTTACTTGGTATTGCAAAGCCAGCATTCCTCAGCTGCAGCTTGTATCTGCTCCCTGTCTCTCCCACCCCTCTTTCCCCCACTTCTCTGTGCGCAATCATATTCACAGGGATTATCTGGGAAACCATTAGCCTTAGAAATCCCTGGACTCAAGACTACATGGTATGTTTCCCAGGTTGCTGTGCAAGTTCTTTAAT